CAACACTTGTTGAAAAAATGCAAAGAAAAAAAGTTAGTTTTGAAATATGACGATTTTTCAAATGTTCAAGATCCTGGGTACAAGATATCAAGAAATATCTGTACCCAAGGTCTTGCGTAAGATCTTGGGTACAAAAATGTCCTGAGATCTTGTACCCATTTTTTCAAGATCTAGTGCCAAATCTTAACGTAAGATCTTGGGCAAGATCTTGGTTTCAAGATGTTGGACTAGGGATAGAAACACGCTCTACTTTGTACAAAGGTGTCGAAGCACATATATGTGTTACGCACCATGCACTTACTACCTGCTTGATTTTAAGGCGAAAGAAGTATTTAAAAACAGTATAAATCATCTTTTAAGACTGATAAGAGCCGCTACGCTTTAATCCGTTCAATATTTTTAATCTCCAGCAATTCCGATGAAGTCATTTTCTAAAAGTATTTTTCATGGTTGGCGACCTGATGAGATGATAGAATCGACATATTTTTATTACACCCGCTCGTCCAGTTCTCAGCTTGCCTCGGGTGCCCTCTTCAACTCCCGGGAGCTGGGCTCCTAGTTGATGTGGTTATATTGGAAACGTTACAGGTTATATTGGTAGCATCCTCCAGCTAATGATTCCTATAAGTTATTTGATCCATCCTGAAGTTTCCCACGATCGTTTTGGTGAGCGTGCACTTTAGGATGCTGTGGCTGGCTGTAGTCACTTCGGTTAGAGTAGTGATCGTCGTTTCTGCCCACTGGATTTAGGGTCTTACAAAATGGTTGTCTATGTGTGCGCAAAATACGGACAAATGGCTGTCAGGTATTCCATGGATGAGCCAATCACAAGAGAGAAAAATACAAAATTCTGTCTTAACAACGTGAGAAAATATATTAAAAGAGATAAACGTAATATCTACTGATACAGACGGATAAAAATCTAAAAAAACTTTTTCTGTATTTTTGAGATAGTTGTCGGTAGAAATAAGTCTAATATTGATAACAAAAACGTTCGTTAAGAATAAAAATAACTTACAGAATATAGATAATCTATTATAGTAAATCTATCAGAAATACTTCTATCCCCCTGGGATCTTCAGACGGCATCCAGACAATGTTTTTGCTTTATATTGAATTGGGCGGTTTTTGTGCAACATCAGAAAAGTTCAGAATTTCGCGCCTATCCTGGCTGTGACCGCCGATCGGAGGGGACTTGAGCATTGTTTTGAATTAAAAAATATTTTTGGACCAGTTTAGACCAGTTTTCTGGTCTAAACTGGTCGAACAGAAAGATCTCGAGGAAGCCTTTTAGATTTATATTAGATTACGAAGCGGACACATCAAATCAGAGAAACATTCGTAACATATATTGAATAGTCCCCTAGCGAACACCGCATAGATGTAACAGGTCAAAATTTTGTCGACCGGACCGGTCAAAAAATTCTGACCGGGCCCGGTTGGCCGGTCATATATTTTCTTTTGGCCGGTTGAAACCATTTTTGACACCACCTCGAAGTCTGTGTCATTAGAATTGCAGAAGGCAGCTGGAACGCATGAATACCTATCGTTTGATTCATAAACTCAATATTTCGAGCTCAAAGTTTTACTGTCAGCTGTCTAAGATCAGAAACACATCCAGTGAAAATTAATTATCGTGTTCTCTCTCCAACCAGTTCTTTTGCTTTTTAAATTCTGCAATTCCTTTTGTAAGTTCTGTGTTGCTTTAAACGTTTTCTGTCTTTGTCTGTATTTGAGAGGGTGAATTGGCGCGAATGTATGAATGTAAAAAGCTAACGGCAGAGGAATGTTAAAGCTTTAGGAATAAAGTCTATAGCTTTTGAACCATGGACTTCCACGATGTGGTTTAAATCCAGCTTTGTCGAGGACACTTTAGACTATATATCTATGAAAAAAAGTTTTTCTAAATTTTTTTTTGCGTGGGAAAACATAGTTTCAGGTCTTGACCAGCGAATGAGGAAAATCGCACGTCTCTATCTTTTGTTCCGTTTGAGTTATTTAAAAAATAATCACTGGCCTGCTATTTTGGTACCGATACTAGCGCAACAAACATCAAAAAAGAAAGAAAAAGAATGGAATATTCACATGGCAGAGATTACCAGTCCTGATCTCGAAGACTGTTGACAAAAAAGAGAAAACCAAACTAACTTTCTTAATCTGAAATATGAAAACGTTTGTTCTACTTAGGTCAGCAAGTTCGTTTTCAACAAAGTACTGATTTTTCAGACGAAAAGACACTATTTTTTCCTCGACCGGCAGGTCAAATTAATTTTCTTTCAACCGACCGGTTAAAACTTTCTGATCGAATCGGGCCGGTTGCCGGTTACATCTCGCGAACACCGACTGAAGGGATATTTTGAGCGTTGTCTTTGATTCAAAGCGATGGAAGGTCACTCGCAGATATAAGTTCCCAAAGTCAAGAGACGGAGCGAGTGCAGACGAGCTTTACCGTGCAGTAAAAGGTTTTACAAAAGGCTTGTGCGTGCATTTGTCTGCAAAACATGGAAAAATGACCCTCAGATATCCTATATAATAAGCCAGTCATAGGGCACAAGAACTGGACGCTAATTTTGTTTTAAATTAAATATTTGAAGATATGTAGTAGATAACTAAGACAAAGTCAGACATCATGCTGGAAAAAATTTAATTTATCAGAATTAAATAAAAGCTAAATTCAACAGAGAGTGTGAAGCTACGGTCACATACCGAGAGCAAAAAAATCCTCTCAAATAAACGCAAAGTGCTAATGCCGACTAATCCTGAACGAAACGGATAATTAACCATTAAACATCTATGAGCAGTAGTCCTAGAAGGATGAGAATTTTCAAAACAATTTCGGAGGTCTACCGATTTCTGAGTTGCTTCGTGTGTGAAACGTCAACTAAAGTTGTAGTGTGTCTCCACACAAGGATAAGTAAGACATCTGGAAGTCTTCCAGTGGTCTTCAAAAAATTTTCCCACTGCTGGATCCAGTAATGGTTCGGGACAGGCGGATTCCATTGAAAGTAAGCTGTGGGCGCGTACTTAATGTCCATAGTATCCTTCTAGTGTTTTAAACGAAGGTTATGAGTTGTGCTGCAAATGCCGATCGAAGGAAGACGCGAGCTTGCTTCGTAATTATAAAAGAAAAATGTTGTGTAACAGAGTAATGTACTCGCGGGTGTAGGTAGCGCAACTAAAATCGACGGCCGAACGAATAGTATATGAGCCTTAACATGAGTTTAGTTGTTATCGTAGGGGCAGGAATAAGATGCACTGTTTATCCAGCGCTGCTCAATTCTGTCCATCATTTTTATGATCCTACAAAGCTAGCAATTTCTAGGTCACACGTAGCGTGTGTGTCACCATTTTCGAGAGAGGGGGTTTAATCCATCACTATTTATTTTAAGGGTAAAGTGAGGTTATCATGGGTTCAGACCAACAAACTTTTACTGTGCCACGATGCTTGTAATATTTATTTTTTTCAGATACATAAACGACGATTTCTGTTAAAAGTATCTTTGAGTTTTCACTTACCGTCACGAACGTCTCTTCTTAAACGTCATACATACAAATGTCCTCTACTGTACGAGCAGCTGCTGCTTCCACAGCTCATATCCTATCTTCTCTCAAGCCACCTCCAAACGTTGTCGTAGTTGGTGGTACATCGGGGATTGGTCGAGCGATAGCTCTCTCAATTGCTCAGCATTGTCCGTCTGCTAGCATCACCATTGTTGGACGAAATGAGGCTGCAGCCAATGCTATACTTTCCCAATTAGGCTCAAATCCAAAGTTTATCCGCGCCGATGTATCTCTTATGTCTGAGATTCGAGCCGTCACGCGGAAGATTGACAAAGTTGACATGTTGATATTGACACAAGGCATATTGACAATGGCTGGTCGCACACCAACGACAGAAAATATTGACAACAAACTGGCTTTGCATTACTACGGTCGAATGTTGTTTATACAAGAACTCCTCCCGTTACTTCGATCATCTCAGAATGGTGGTAAAGTTTTGACCGTATTGGACAGTGTGAACGGCAATCCATCAAAAATCAATTGGAATGATATGGCGCTTGAAAATACATATTCTCTTGCTTCGGCCGGCTACCATGCAATATCGTTTAACGATCTTGCCATACAACATTTCGCTTCACAACCGGAAAATACGAACGTAACATTTACGCACGCATATCCAGGCGTTGTTCGGACACCATTCTGAGATGATCGAAGTAACGGGAGGAGTTCTTGTATAAACAACATTCGACCGTAGTAATGCAAAGCCAGTTTGTTGTCAATATTTTCTGTCGTTGGTGTGCGACCAGCCATTGTCAATATGCCTTGTGTCAATATCAACATGTCAACTTTGTCAATCTTCCGCGTGACGGCTCGAATCTCAGACATAAGAGATACATCGGCGCGGATAAACTTTGGATTTGAGCCTAATTGGGAAAGTATAGCATTGGCTGCAGCCTCATTTCGTCCAACAATGGTGATGCTAGCAGACGGACAATGCTGAGCAATTGAGAGAGCTATCGCTCGACCAATCCCCGATGTACCACCAACTACGACAACGTTTGGAGGTGGCTTGAGAGAAGATAGGATATGAGCTGTGGAAGCAGCAGCTGCTCGTACAGTAGAGGACATTTGTATGTATGACGTTTAAGAAGAGACGTTCGTGACGGTAAGTGAAAACTCAAAGATACTTTTAACAGAAATCGTCGTTTATGTATCTGAAAAAAATAAATATTACAAGCATCGTGGCACAGTAAAAGTTTGTTGGTCTGAACCCATGATAACCTCACTTTACCCTTAAAATAAATAGTGATGGATTAAACCCCCTCTCTCGAAAATGGTGACACACACGCTACGTGTGACCTAGAAATTGCTAGCTTTGTAGGATCATAAAAATGATGGACAGAATTGAGCAGCGCTGGATAAACAGTGCATCTTATTCCTGCCCCTACGATAACAACTAAACTCATGTTAAGGCTCATATACTATTCGTTCGGCCGTCGATTTTAGTTGCGCTACCTACACCCGCGAGTACATTACTCTGTTACACAACATTTTTCTTTTATAATTACGAAGCAAGCTCGCGTCTTCCTTCGATCGGCATTTGCAGCACAACTCATAACCTTCGTTTAAAACACTAGAAGGATACTATGGACATTAAGTACGCGCCCACAGCTTACTTTCAATGGAATCCGCCTGTCCCGAACCATTACTGGATCCAGCAGTGGGAAAATTTTTTGAAGACCACTGGAAGACTTCCAGATGTCTTACTTATCCTTGTGTGGAGACACACTACAACTTTAGTTGACGTTTCACACACGAAGCAACTCAGAAATCGGTAGACCTCCGAAATTGTTTTGAAAATTCTCATCCTTCTAGGACTACTGCTCATAGATGTTTAATGGTTAATTATCCGTTTCGTTCAGGATTAGTCGGCATTAGCACTTTGCGTTTATTTGAGAGGATTTTTTTGCTCTCGGTATGTGACCGTAGCTTCACACTCTCTGTTGAATTTAGCTTTTATTTAATTCTGATAAATTAAATTTTTTCCAGCATGATGTCTGACTTTGTCTTAGTTATCTACTACATATCTTCAAATATTTAATTTAAAACAAAATTAGCGTCCAGTTCTTGTGCCCTATGACTGGCTTATTATATAGGATATCTGAGGGTCATTTTTCCATGTTTTGCAGACAAATGCACGCACAAGCCTTTTGTAAAACCTTTTACTGCACGGTAAAGCTCGTCTGCACTCGCTCCGTCTCTTGACTTTGGGAACTTATATCTGCGAGTGACCTTCCATCGCTTTGAATCAAAGACAACGCTCAAAATATCCCTTCAGTCGGTGTTCGCGAGATGTAACCGGCAACCGGCCCGATTCGATCAGAAAGTTTTAACCGGTCGGTTGAAAGAAAATTAATTTGACCTGCCGGTCGAGGAAAAAATAGTGTCTTTTCGTCTGAAAAATCAGTACTTTGTTGAAAACGAACTTGCTGACCTAAGTAGAACAAACGTTTTCATATTTCAGATTAAGAAAGTTAGTTTGGTTTTCTCTTTTTTGTCAACAGTCTTCGAGATCAGGACTGGTAATCTCTGCCATGTGAATATTCCATTCTTTTTCTTTCTTTTTTGATGTTTGTTGCGCTAGTATCGGTACCAAAATAGCAGGCCAGTGATTATTTTTTAAATAACTCAAACGGAACAAAAGATAGAGACGTGCGATTTTCCTCATTCGCTGGTCAAGACCTGAAACTATGTTTTCCCACGCAAAAAAAAATTTAGAAAAACTTTTTTTCATAGATATATAGTCTAAAGTGTCCTCGACAAAGCTGGATTTAAACCACATCGTGGAAGTCCATGGTTCAAAAGCTATAGACTTTATTCCTAAAGCTTTAACATTCCTCTGCCGTTAGCTTTTTACATTCATACATTCGCGCCAATTCACCCTCTCAAATACAGACAAAGACAGAAAACGTTTAAAGCAACACAGAACTTACAAAAGGAATTGCAGAATTTAAAAAGCAAAAGAACTGGTTGGAGAGAGAACACGATAATTAATTTTCACTGGATGTGTTTCTGATCTTAGACAGCTGACAGTAAAACTTTGAGCTCGAAATATTGAGTTTATGAATCAAACGATAGGTATTCATGCGTTCCAGCTGCCTTCTGCAATTCTAATGACACAGACTTCGAGGTGGTGTCAAAAATGGTTTCAACCGGCCAAAAGAAAATATATGACCGGCCAACCGGGCCCGGTCAGAATTTTTTGACCGGTCCGGTCGACAAAATTTTGACCTGTTACATCTATGCGGTGTTCGCTAGGGGACTATTCAATATATGTTACGAATGTTTCTCTGATTTGATGTGTCCGCTTCGTAATCTAATATAAATCTAAAAGGCTTCCTCGAGATCTTTCTGTTCGACCAGTTTAGACCAGAAAACTGGTCTAAACTGGTCCAAAAATATTTTTTAATTCAAAACAATGCTCAAGTCCCCTCCGATCGGCGGTCACAGCCAGGATAGGCGCGAAATTCTGAACTTTTCTGATGTTGCACAAAAACCGCCCAATTCAATATAAAGCAAAAACATTGTCTGGATGCCGTCTGAAGATCCCAGGGGGATAGAAGTATTTCTGATAGATTTACTATAATAGATTATCTATATTCTGTAAGTTATTTTTATTCTTAACGAACGTTTTTGTTATCAATATTAGACTTATTTCTACCGACAACTATCTCAAAAATACAGAAAAAGTTTTTTTAGATTTTTATCCGTCTGTATCAGTAGATATTACGTTTATCTCTTTTAATATATTTTCTCACGTTGTTAAGACAGAATTTTGTATTTTTCTCTCTTGTGATTGGCTCATCCATGGAATACCTGACAGCCATTTGTCCGTATTTTGCGCACACATAGACAACCATTTTGTAAGACCCTAAATCCAGTGGGCAGAAACGACGATCACTACTCTAACCGAAGTGACTACAGCCAGCCACAGCATCCTAAAGTGCACGCTCACCAAAACGATCGTGGGAAACTTCAGGATGGATCAAATAACTTATAGGAATCATTAGCTGGAGGATGCTACCAATATAACCTGTAACGTTTCCAATATAACCACATCAACTAGGAGCCCAGCTCCCGGGAGTTGAAGAGGGCACCCGAGGCAAGCTGAGAACTGGACGAGCGGGTGTAATAAAAATATGTCGATTCTATCATCTCATCAGGTCGCCAACCATGAAAAATACTTTTAGAAAATGACTTCATCGGAATTGCTGGAGATTAAAAATATTGAACGGATTAAAGCGTAGCGGCTCTTATCAGTCTTAAAAGATGATTTATACTGTTTTTAAATACTTCTTTCGCCTTAAAATCAAGCAGGTAGTAAGTGCATGGTGCGTAACACATATATGTGCTTCGACACCTTTGTACAAAGTAGAGCGTGTTTCTATCCCTAGTCCAACATCTTGAAACCAAGATCTTGCCCAAGATCTTACGTTAAGATTTGGCACTAGATCTTGAAAAAATGGGTACAAGATCTCAGGACATTTTTGTACCCAAGATCTTACGCAAGACCTTGGGTACAGATATTTCTTGATATCTTGTACCCAGGATCTTGAACATTTGAAAAATCGTCATATTTCAAAACTAACTTTTTTTCTTTGCATTTTTTCAACAAGTGTTG